TTTTTTTTTTTTTTTTTTTGACGACATCTGTGTGTGATACTTTTTCTGAATTCTTATCTCATTCCTAAGACTTAGTTAAGCTGTTTTCTGTCTGTATAAAGTCTCTATTTACATGTCAAGAAGGATAACCTGTGTTAACTTCCTCAGATAAGGTTTCCTATTGTTGCCAGTCCATTTTCATATACTGAGGAGGAGCCAGATATTGAACTGGCTGGCATCTGTGGCAAAGCTTTCAGATATTGTGGAACTGCAAGGACGTTGTGATCTGGGAGTAAAAATGAATAAAAGGTTCAGTTTGCTTGAAGTTAATAGCTGTTGAGGTGAAGATTGCTTGCTCAGTGTTTGGATGATTTCTTTGACAGACACAAGAGGAAGTAGGTAGGATTTGCTGATGTCTAAAGGATGTATCTGGCAGAGAAAACTTGGTATTGTCAACAGTACACTGATTTGTAATTTGACTTTGGTGCTACTGGTAATAAGCGGCGATTCCCTGCACCGAACCAGATTGTCTTGTGTCTTAATCGTGTTTTGTTATTTTAAAATAATTTGTATCTGTTCTTTTTTTTTTTTTTTTCCTTCCTTTTTTGCCCTAAAATATAGGTTACCTATTTAAAATTCTTGATAAACTCTAGCTTTTTATTTTTTATTATTGAATTTTTGTTCATCAAGGTTTACACTGTGCTTCATGTTCTTGATCAGTGTCCTTCCTGCTCTTTCATTTGGTATCTATATTATTTCCCTGACCATCACAGTCTTAGCACTGCCAGGTGGTAAATATTAATGTTAGACCACAGCCTGTTGACAATAAATGGGAAGGGCTGGCTGCAAAATCCCTTCTCCTTAATGTCTGATTAAATTTTAAGATAGGAAAAAAAATAGTTTTTAGTAGTAAATTTGTTGCTGATCTTTCAAGACCTTTATTCTTTCTCTTTTTTTTTTTTTTTTTTTTTTTTTTCTTTCTTTCCCTTTCCTCCAAAAGAGCTCTTTCAATGTAGATGCCAGGAGCCTTAAATTATTCAGGCATGTGCTTTTTAAATGCTCTGGCTTGCAATCTTTAAAAGCCTGTTAAAGAGAGATTCTTTACATAGGCTTCAGGTAGCTGTATTCTTCTGTCATTTTAACTAATGGCTTAGGATATTCCAAATGCAGTTTAAATGAGGAAAAGCTTTAATATTTATTTATGTGTTTGCAGCATGCAAAATCATGTGCAGCTT